TGCTGTTAATATTCTGATGATGAAGGAATGAATGTTGAGATTTTTTTCTATTATTTTCCTTGCAGGAAAGTGATATTTGAGTGGGATTGAAAGGTGGAAGAGCATTTATATTCTCCCATGGTTTGGAGAGATCTTTTGAGGACAATTGAATTACAGTGGTCCCTCATTCTCCATGGATTCCTTATCCATATATTCAACCAACTATGGATCAAAAGCATTTTTTAAAAATTACATATGTACTGAACACACAGAGACTTTTTAAATTGTCATGATTCCTAAACAATACTAGCATTTTCATTGTATTAGATATTATATATTATCAGGAGATAATTTAAAGTATACAGGAGATGTGTCTTGTCTATATGTAAGTCCTATGCTACTTTATGTAACAGACTGGAGAATATTCGAATTTTGGTATCTGCAGAAGGTCCTGGAGCCAATTGCCTAGGACACTGAAGGACATCTATACTAGAGAGTTAATAATTACATTGATATACAAGATGAAGTTTTTATAATACAAATAAGAATGCAGTTTATGATTATATTATGAATTTATAGGTATTATTTTATAATAACAGTATTGTTGTTAATGCTATAACCAAAGCTTCATGTGATTGAAAAAAATTACTTCCTCTTGATTGGATTGGCATTTCAAATGTTTTTAAACAGTTGCCAACATTTTTAATTCTACATTCTAATCACGTGACTGACAATATGTTCCTTGTGTGGAAAAAAGTTCAGTGGAGCTAAGTGTTTATTATCTTCACTTTAGACTATTTTAACAAGGAAGGAAATAAAAAAAGAGCTTGGCAAGCATGTGGGCTCCTTGCCTTATGTAAGCTGGCGTATATCCCACCTCTGGTGGTAGAGCAGAAATCTGAAGGGCGAACAATGGTGGTGCTAAGCTCCTGCCCACGACTCCAAACGGAAAGGAGGAGGAATCCTTCACGTTGATAAGCCAATGGGAGAACTGAATGGCCGGCTGTGCTCTGCCGCCCAGCATTTGCCCTTCCTGCTCCCTTGCCTCTGGTGCTTGCTCCTCTTCAGTTCCCCACTGCCCTTCAAGAAGGAGTTACAGTGTATCCTGATCAACAGGAGCTTGGGGAAAGCCAAGCACCCTTCAAAGAGTCAAAGCGAGACCCAGGTCTTGGTTACCTTTTGGGATTTCACTCCTGGCTTTGTGTTATGGTTTGAATACATTGTGTCTCCACCAAAACTCAGGTTGAGAATTGGTTCTCAGTGCTGCCATGTTGGGAGGTGGGGCCAAGTGGGGGTGTTTGGGCAGAGCCCTTGTGAATGGACTGATGCCATTCTCTTGTGAGTTCTCATTCTTGCCAGGCTGCATTAGTTACTGTGAGAACAGGCTGTTATAAAGCAAGTCCATTCCTTGTGTTCTCTTTCTTCCACATGTGCTTGCCTGCCCTTTAACTTTCCACCATGAATTGAGAGGCATACAGTCCTCATCAGTTGTGACCACCTGATCTTTACCTTTCTAGCCTCCAGATCTATGAGCAAAAAAAAAAAAATATATATATATATTTATTGGTACTGGGGATTGATGTCAGGGGCACTGTCACTGAGCTACATTTCCAATTTTTTTTTCTTTTTTATTTTGAGACAGGGTCTTTTTGAATTGCCGAGGCTGGCCTTGAATTTGTGATCCTCCTGTCTCAGCCTCTCAGTCACTGGGATTATAGGCATGTACCACTGCACCTGGCTCACCTTTTATTCTTTATAAATTATTTAGTCTTGGGTATTCTGTTTGAGTGACAGAAAACGGGCAAAGACACTTTAACACTAAGGCATCCCCTGAAAGTGGGAGATTAACTAGGAATATGTCATACGAATTTATCTGAAAGACTAAAATCTCTTATCCCTTTTTTTTCTAGGAGAAGATATCTGGCACTCTGAGGAACATCTTGAACATGGAAAGTTCACTAGAAGTACATTCTAGTGAATTTTAGAAAACCAAGAATCAAGGTTTATTATATGGAAAGAATGATGGCTCAAAAAGTTGACTGGGAAGCAAATTGTGAAGGCTCTGGAATGCCATGATGTTGGAGTCTGGACTTTGTTTCATGAGAGTGGAGAGCTCCCAAAGGCTTGAAGGGATAAGAGACACGATGATATTTATGATTTAAGTATTTGGGTTTGGTATTAGGGTAGAGGATGGATTGGGAAGGATACCAGTGAGGAGGTAGTTTAAATAGTTTAGGAAAGGTGATGGCCCAAATTGAGGCAGTTTTGGTATAAGTGGGTGAAATTAGAAAAGTTATGTTAAAGAAGGTATTTAAAAAACTTAGTTAAAGGAAGAACAAAAGAATAACTTGGAGGAAAAATGATCTGAATTATGAATCTGAGATAAAAAGCATGGTATTAATAAATAAGGGATCCATTGGAGGAGAAAGACTTAGTAGGTCTTATGTGAAATCTGTTGAATTTGAAATATTCATGTGAGCCAGGTGTGGGGGCTCCAGTGCCTGTAATTCCAGTGACTAAGGAGACTGAGTCAGGAAGATTGTAAGTTCAAGGTCAACCTGAGAAAATTAGCAAGATATTGCCTAAGACGAAAAAAAAAAAAAAAAAAAGTACTGGGAATGTAGCTCAAGCTTAATGTGTTCAATCCCCAATACCAAAATAAACAAGGAAACACATAAATAGATAAAAACTGAAATGTCCTTATGACATCCAAATGCAAATGTCCAAAGAACTATAATTTTGAGGTTGGAGTTCAGAAAAAAGATTGGGACTGAAGATAAATATTTGAAAAATCAACATAATTAAAGTAAATGAGATGTCAGAAGTGGATAAGTTGCTCATAAGGAAAGCATAACATGGAAGAAGAGACAGACCAGGGCAGACTGTCATAGTTGAGGGGTTGCCAGGAAAGAGCTGGGAAAGAGCCATCTGAGGTAGAAGGTCCACAGTACAGACACCAGGGGAGTATATTACTCAAGAAGGAGCCATTGTTTAGAGAAAAAAAAAAAAAACTTTCAAAGGAAACATGTTTTGGGCATAAAGAAGTCACCAGTGGCCTTCTGAGAGGGCAGTTTTCAAGGACTGAGAGGCAGGAATGAGATCCTAGTGGTTGGGGCTTGGATGGGAGGCAAATAAGTATCAATGGTGCCCAAAACTTGTCCTTGGGAAAAATTTTATAGTGAAGAGAAGAACAGAAATGCAGCTTGAATTTCTTTTTCATGTGGTTTATCAATTTGAAAAGAACTACTGTATCCCCGGCTCACTTGATTCCCAGCACAACTCCAGGAGGTAGCGAGGGCAAGTGTTGATACACTTGGGCACAAACTGAAGTTAAGAAGAAATTTAAAGGGCTTAATCAAGGTCACTTATAGCAAATCAAGAACTAAATATGGAACTTTAGACCTTTCCATAGTGTCCAGACTGAATGTTTCTGAGGTGTTGGTGCCATTTGGATAGAGGAGGACAATAGAGAGCTACTGGGAGGTTTTGTGCTAAGGGGATGCTATGTTTAAGTCACTGTCTGATGGAAACAAATCTGGTAGTGATATGTAGGATGTGTTAGTCGAACAGACATTTCAGTGGAGTAGACAGGATGTGGCTTCAAATCAGGACAAGGCTTTAAATAAATATCCAATCACATGCTGAGAAAGTTATGTCCCTTTTAGTTCTCCAGAACCTCTTCTGTGTAAGTTGAGGAGAAGGTTTCAGTTTGCCAATATGTTTCTAACACCTCTCAAATACTCTCTAACATCACTCTTGAACAAAATTCTCTTCAGGCTAAGAACATTTGCAAACATCTGTGTCTCACTAGAAAGAACTGGATTGCATTGCTTATTGTTCACTCTGTTTTTCTGTTTACTTTCTCCTTATGACCAGAAATGTTGATTTCTGATTAATTATAATTAATATCTAAACAAAATGTATCTAAACAAAATGTTAAATTAATAAAAACTACTGTCAATTCTAAGACAAGCAGCACGCACACATAGGGGATCATGAATGCATATTCTAAACGAATGCATGTCTAAAGTTTGTGCCCAACTATATCATTAATGCATGTCTAAAGTTTGAGAAATTCTGGACTTGGAAACTTTTGCAATAAGAGTAATGAAGGTTTAGACCAGATTGGGATCATGGAAGTGGAAATAGAGAAGAAGAAAAGAAAGCTCTGAAAATTCCTTCTCCCGTTTCTTTCTTTCTTTTTTTTTTTTTTAAATTCCAGTCAGGGCTGGGGATGTGGCTCAAGTGGTAGCGCGCTCGCCTGGCATGCGTTCAGCCCGGGTTCGATCCTCAGCACCACATACAAAAAAAACCAGAAGATGTTGTGTCCACCAATAATTAAAAAATAAATATTAAAAAAATTCTCTCTCTCTTTAAAAAAAAATTCAGGTCACATTTCTTTTTTAAAAAAATATTTTAAGCTATAGATGGACACAATATCTTTATTTTATTTTATTTTTTTATGTGGTGCTGGGAATTGAACCCAGTGCTTCACACATGCTAGGCAAGTGCTCTACCACTGAGCCACAATCCCAGCCCACCTTCTCCCACTTCTTAGGATGCTTTTAGCTGCAATAATGGAAAACTTAAAAGGACTCATGCAATACTATGAATTTATTCTTTCATATATCAAGAAGACCTGTGGTAGGGTGGCTCCAGGATTGGTTATCAGAGCTTCCTTAGCATCAGTAAATGCTCAGCTTCCATTTATCTTCCAACCCCAGCAATCAGGCTTTTCCCATTGGCTCCAAGATGGATGATGTGGTTCCAGGAATCCCATTTCAACATAAGGTGTTTTCAGTGCAACAAGAAGACATCTCTTCTTGAGCTGAAGAGTAAAGTAGAGAAGCTTTCCCTGAAGGCACCTCCACCAAAAGATTTTACTTCAGGATTCATTGGCCAAAAAAGTACCACATATTCATTCCAAAACTAATTAATGCAAAGGAAAATCAAATGGTTGTAGACTAAATATGAGTGATTCTCTACGCTAAAGACAGAGATCCTTTTCTCTATGATGGAATTCTCAATAATAGGAGCTCTGTTAATAAATATGGTCAGGAGGCAGTTGTCTTTTACAACTACCGAGAGAGCTGCAGGTTTACTCCCAATGCCAGTGGTTTTGAAAATTCCTCAGATTCACTCTTGCATAGAAGTGGGAAGTTCCTAAGGCTTGAGTTTTTTTATTTCTAAAACTTCTACTTTGCTCTTCTCTCCATGTGTTGGATTAAGGCAGAACGAAATACTTCCACTGCAAAGTCAACTTCTGGCTTAGTGATGCACATTGGGGGTGCGATGCGGAAGGTCTGGGAAGACAGGAAAATAGAGCAACAAATCATCAGAGAATCAAATGGCTTTGAGGAAAATGCACTAAACTAAGACTCCCACATTGTTTTTATGACATTTCTTACATTTCTCTCATATCTCCTTCTCCTTCTTCCAGAACCATCTCAAAGTGTTTTTCTTTTTGTCATCTGTTCACTTCCTTGTCTGTCTACCACCTTTCCTGAAATCTTGAGTGCCTCTCTATACTCAATTACTGCCACCACCAAGGTGACCTCCCTCTATGTGTATAGAACCCAACCAATTAGCTTCATTTTTCTGATGGACCAAGCTCTCAGAACTTTCATCTCCATTTCTCTGCATTCACTCACACCCAAAACCAATGTCATGAGCCTTCTTTTCACCAGAATAACCCAATTTCGGATTCCCATTTATACCTATCCTTTTCACCCCGAGCCCCAGTCTCCTCATCCCTTCATTATCTTCAGGTCTTCTCCCCACTCAGATCTCTTCCTTTCATTCCTTCCCAGCCTGGAGCACACAGTTGACTGAAGTATGCTCTCACCTGCCCTTTCAGTTTGCTTGCATTTCCACCTTTATGCCGCTAATACCCACATGGCCCAGTCTCAGCCTGATTAAAGCTATAACTGAACTGCTTTCCTCCAACTCACATGACTGAGAAGTGTTAAGGAAGTCACAGAGCATGCCTGATGACACCACCAGATATCCAGGGTCTCCAGTGCCTCCCCATCTCTGAGATTTTTATTGACCTCCGCCAATTTTCTCTCTCATTCTAAACCTCCAATATCCTTAATTTTCTTTCTCCACTCCTATGCTTTTCATTCTATTTTATAGACAACCATGCCTCATAATTCTTGGAGAAAATTGAAGCTGCCAAGCAAGACCTTTCTATAAACTTGTTTGCTCTGACAGCCATCTATATCCTTTTCCAAAGGTTCAGAGAAGGAGATGTCCTTACTGTTTGACTCCAAATCATCTGTCTGTGCCCTGGACCTTGGACACTCCCATAACTACCACTCCAGAAACACCCCTGGGTTCTCTTGCATCTATCATTTCTTTTCAACTTCAACTTTCCCTCAGCTTCTAAACTAGTAGGCTTAAAGCTCTCTCTCACAATCCAAATCCAAATCACAACAAATAACCATCTGAGGTGATTCCTGGTCCCCTCTAGCTACAGTACAGGTATTGTCCTCCTCCTTTTATTCAAACATATTAGAAAGATGGGTTGATGCCTATTGGGCATTAGTTTTCACTTCACATCCCAATTCTAATCCCATCCACATCCCAGTCCATGTTAGTTTGGTTTTTGTTCCTGTAACTTTCTGACATCACTGGGCTAAAATCAACTGGAGAATCCATTGGGCATTTCTTGCTCTTATCCTTCCTGTCCACTTCATGTTTTGGACTTTCCTTTTTCCTGAACCTCTCTACTCTCTTCTAACCTTCTTCATGCTGTCTGCCCCTTTCTGTCTCTGTCTGGGCACCTTCCCCTTTTGCCGTCAAATGGTGGTTTTACCACACCTCACTGTGCCTATCACCTAGACACTGGCTTCCTGTGTGATGTCCTGATCCTCTCTCACCACTTAGATGCTGAAATTCTCAGCTGTGGTCTTCATTTTAGCCCTGCAGACTTGACTATAGCCAGATGTTCACAAGCTACTGCAAATGGAGCATGTTCAAGGATGAATTCATTCAGGTCCACCTGAACCAAGTCAGAATTCCAAAATTATCCTTCGAATGTCTCCTCTGTCCTTTCAACCACTGCTCAAGTTCAAACAGCATCCTAAGCCACACCCCCTGTATTCCACACTCCCTGAGTCCAGTTTTATCACCTTAGGTTTATTCCTATCAGAGGAGAGATTCAGAAATCAGACTGCCAGGCTCTGAATCTTCATTCTTCCACTTACTAGCTATATGACTTGGGCAATTAACCTCTCCATGCCTGTTTTTATTTATCTGTACAATAAGGATAATATTAGTATTATTTCCTAGGCTTTTTGAGGTCATTTCATGAGTTCATACAGGGAAAATGTTGAAAACAGCCCCTGGTCATTGGTAAACAGTCTGCTAGTCCAAAAGGCTAACCGTCGTCTTCCTCTAAACACTTCTTTTTATATTTGAAGTTGAGTTCACCAGATTGCATTGCAATTTTCTGTTTATATTTTTTTCTCTCCTATCAACTTCATGAAGGAGGGACCAGCCTTACTTATCATTATATCTTCAGTTTTCAGCATATCACCTGCTGCTTAAGGCTTAATAAATGTTGGCCAAGTAATGAAGGAATAGCTAAGTAAGTGAACAATTGTTTCATGTCTTTATAACTCACATAGCTGAGAATTTTAATAATTAAGTTTTGTTATCTAATTTATACAAAACAAATATTTAGAGTTTATTTAGAGGTCTTGACTGATAGCTTGAATTTTCTCTGGAAAGTATGAGGCAAGAAATGGATATGTCAGTAGGAGGCAGGAATGGACCAGGGAAACTGGCAGAAATGAGAAATGTTTGAAATTGTCAGAGACACTGAGCTCCAATTAGATAGGAACAAGAAGTTCTGGTGTCCTATTGTGCAATTGGTCAACTATAGACAATAATTCATTGCATATTTTAAAAAGCTGCAAGAAAGAATTTTGAATATTCTCACCACAAAGAAATGATAAATGGGGCTGGGGATATAGCTCAGTTGGTAGAGTACTTGTCTCACATGCACAAGGTCCTGGGTTCAATCCCCAGCACCACACACACAAAAAAAGATAAATGAGGTGATGTATATGCTTACCCTTGTTTGGACATTACACAATGTATATAGATACTGAAACATCAGATAGTACCCCACAAATAAGTATAATTATTATGTGTCATATTTTTTTTTAATGGGCAAGAAAGATGATAGAGCACAAGAACAAATTAGGGGAGCTGGACATTACTCTTACTCTTAAATCTTTGCCTGGTGGCCATCCTTGGTGTGGGACCTATCAGTGTGAGGGATTTAGGGACAGATCATGTAGCTCATAGCAGCAGTATCTCAGTGAGCAGCTCAGGGGCAGGTCCTGACTGTGAAGCTGAGATTTGGCTTTTCCAGGAAGAGAGAGGGGAAAGAGCTCCATTTCTGATTTTCCCAGCCAGAGTTTGAGGGCACTGGCCATATCTGGTCTTGAGTACCGCACTAGGGACCATGCCCAGTAGGTCCCCCACCTCTTCTGCAGGGATCAGTTGGGACTTCCAAGGCTGTTAGGTGGCTCCCTGCCACAATGGTCACTTGCTTTGTGAGCAAGTTCATAAAGTCAGAACTCAGGGCTGAGTCAATGATGGCTAGGATTTATTTAACAGGAGTTAAAACTAACTCATAAGTGAGACAAGCTGTATATTGCATGACTGTTAGGTCTCTACCATTCTCCATACCGTTAATTATGTGGGCTGGCTGTACATCTTAAGCTTGCCAGTATCTTCTTCCTGCAGAACCGCGATAACCAAACCATTTCACTACAGCGCCCTCTCGTGGCCACAAGGAGGACTAACTGCCCCTTTTGAGAATGCCTGAGCAGTCTCCTTTGAGCCTACAGTCCTGAAGAAAAGCCACCTGCATTGGCATCTCAGGGATATACCTACCTAAAAGGACAGTTAAACATCAGCCTTTCTCTTACCTGAGAAAAAATGCCGCCTCTTCCCACTATGAGACCCATGTTTTTGCAGTCCTCATGGATTTGACTTACTTCTTGAGGAGGAAGGGGCTGGCGGCTCATCTGTGAAAACATTTTTAAAAGTTTCCTAATTGGTGTTTGCATGGTTAGAAGAACTATTTCCCAAGAGGGAGAAAACAAAACAAAAGGAAAGCAATGAATGAGCCTGTAATTAAATAAAGCTGTTAATTCGCTGAACCAGATTTTTGGAGGGTATTATTAAAAATATTTGTCTTTATTTCACTTCATCCCAAATTCCCAAGAACAAGATGAAATTCCATACAGATAGCCAGCGAATCTTGGCTCTGCTAATGGCTACCTTGGGAGTCTGGTTCCTCAATAACTGAATTTGGAGTCTGTTTTATTTATGTTGAAATCCTTCTCAACTCTTCCCTGTGTTCTGTCCACGCAAAGAGCGCATTTCAAAGTCCAGGAAGTGGCTCAACAGTTGCTCAAGGGCACCAGCAGCCCAAGTGCTCCCCCGGGGCCTGGCATGGCCAGGAAGCTGGGGTGGGACCATTGTGTCCTCATCTTTCCTGCTTGTGGAATTTGCTTCCCCCCACCCCCACCCACAAGACTTCATCTTCAGTGGGAGGAAAGGTACACCCTTCAGGGCCCCAGAGGCTGTGTCAGATATCTAGGTAACTGATGTTGTTGCTCCCCTGTGTGGGGGCTCAATGCGTCAATTCCCTTTGGTGACAGCAAGCTTCAGCTTGCATTGTTTCTCTGTATCTTCTGTTTCATCTGTGAGCATAAATATCTCCCTCTAATTATGTTTTATTTTTAAGTCTGATTTTATGTCTCTTACATAAAAGCCTATCACAGTACAAATACTTGGGATTCACCTTAGGCCAAATCAGAATATTTGGGCTGGGCTTAGGATTTGTATTTAACAGATGCTGCTCAGATGGCCGGGCAAGGAACTGCTCCATTCCTCCTCCATTGCTGCCCTGGCTGTCTGGTTTTAGGTACATAAAACATGATCCTTGCTCCTGACAGCCCCTGCAGGTAGAGAAGGGCTCCTTCCACGTCCATGGTCAGTTTTATCATTCTCAGCACTTCCTATCTGCCCTCCTATGTGCTTTGGTGTCTATTTTCTTCTCCCCACTGCCTCTTGATACAGCCCTTTCCGAAAATTCTCTATTCCTTGTAAGGTGTCTGTATCTTTTTTTTTTTTCTTTTCATTTTTTTAAGTTGTAGATGGACTCAATATATTTATTCATTTATTTTTATGTGGTGCTGAGGATCAAACCCAGTGCCTCACTCATTTGTGGCAAGTACTCTACCACTGAGCTATAGCCCCAGCTCAGGGGTCTGTATCTTACTATGCAATGTGTCTGACTTCCAAGGGCCCCTTTTGTTTGCATATTTTAAAATTTGTCTTAAAGTTTTATGAAAAGAAAAGTAACATTCCAACTTTCAGATTATTGGTAATGGAGTATCTGGGATGGGAGAAAAGACTAAGATCTTCTCTTCGAATTCCAAATTTCACAATGCATTCTTGCTTGCCCCTGAGGTTTTCATTTATTGGAGAGTGAAGACTAAGATAATTGAGTGTTAAATTGCGAGAACTGGAGAAAAGTTAAGTGAGAGTTGAAGGAACAGAGATCAGAGGGGCCAGCATTATTAGAAAGGCTTGGGTTGGTGGAGGCCTTGCTCAACTTTATGGATCTGTAAAGATGGAGTTTGTCTGGCCTCACCCCAACATTGGTCTGGACCAGACCTCCTTATTTCCTTTCCATCTTACCCCACCCCAACCTTGACAGCTATGACTAATTGAAAATCTTGTCTGCATTCCACAAGGACAGGCAGGGCCAGAAACTGCAAGTGACAGGGCAGCCTGCTCAGGCCTTCATGTTCATGCTTGTGTCTCAATTGCTTGAAAACAAAGTAGGCACATAAGTAATTCAACTTCTTGTTGGATGCAGAATGTAGCTTTAGGCATCCGTTTTTATCTCTTTGGGTTTTTACTTTTTTTTTTTTTTTGACAAATCTGTACTGAAACAATTATAAGAATGATACATGATTTTTAAAAAAATTCCAATGGTAAAAGTGCAGGAAGCAATACTGAAAATTTTCCTCTCCCTCTATTCTATGCCTAAGGACATCTCGTATTGATAATCTGATGTGAACTAGGCCCTTTTTCTTTGCACGAAAACACATTTATATGCATATTTAAAAATTAGTTATAATGTTGTTCTGTGGTCAGGCATGGTGGTACATGCCTGTAATGCCAGTGACTCAGAAGATTGAAGCAAGAGGATTCAAGTTTGAGGCCAGCCAGGACAACTTAGTGAGACTGTCTCAAAATAATAAATAAAAGAAGGTCTGGGGATATAGCTCAGTGGAAGAGTGCCCCTGGGTTCCATACCCAGAACTGAAAAAAAAATTATGCAATTTTCTTTTAATAATTATAATATATTTTGGACATCTTTCCATGTAAGTATATTTGGACATAGTCTTAAAACTTACCTAGTATTTCACTGTTTGCCAGTTATATGTCCAATCTCCTATTATTGGGCATTTAGGTTGTTTCTAATTTTTCATGATTATAAACAATGCAGCAAACATCCCTATTCAAATACATCTTTATATATTTTTGTATTTTTAGGACACATTTTTGGAAGTAGAATTGCAAGACCAAAAGTCTAAACATTTAAAATTTTGATAGTTACAAACAAATTGCTGTCCAAAGAACTGCACCAATTTACATTCTAACCAAGTGTATGAGAGGTGGGAATATCATCCTGGATTATGCTGGCTAGCAGAGTTATAATTACATGAATGTGGTCAGAGGCATTGCAGGAGGCTAAAATCAATCCACAAAGCACCTACCACATGTTTTGTTTCCTGGCCACAAAATTATTAAAGAAAATAAGATATTTAAACAATAAAAACTAAGTTCATACATGGTTTATGCCATAGATTGAAATGTTTCTGCCACTAAACCCCAGTTCATATGTTGAAACCTAATTCCCAGTGTAATAGTATTAGCAGATGGGCCTTCAGGAGGTGATTAGGTCATGAAGGTGGAACCCTTATGAGTGAAATTAGTTCCCTTATGAAAGGTCAAGAGAGTTCCCTTGCCCCTTCTGCCACATGAGGTTTCAGAAAGAAGGTGGCCATCTATGAACCAAGAAGTGAACCATAACCTAATATGGATCTGCTGTCATCTTTATCTTGGACTTTTCAGCCTCTAGGACTTTGAAAAATGAATTTTTGTTGTCCATAAGACACTTAGTTTATGGAACACTGTCAGAGCTGTCCAAGATGGTGCAGAAGGTCTTTCCAAAGGAGCTCCTTTGTCAGGGAGTACTTGAGGAATTCTCTGAAGGATGGAGGCAATAGATGAGGGAGAAGATATGAAACTGGACCTTGTAGAAGACCAGGACTTCCACGGAAGAGGCAGAGAGGAGAGGTGACATTTGTGTGTAGGATAGTGAATGGCATTCAGGGGACAGAGAGTAGAACTAGGGAAAGGAGGAGCTGGGATTCTAATCTGGGTGGAGCCTGTGCTTAAAACTGATATATGGCAGAGGGAGGAGAAAAAGATTTCATTTTAAAGACACTGTTTAGGGAGTGGTTTCATTTTTCCCACAAAAGGGTTTGAACATATTTCTACATCAAAACATGTATCTATGCCATTGGTATTAGGGATGTGCCACAATGTATGTCTTTTGTATCAGTGGCCATTTGAGAAGATTCTGATGTTTTACTGTGAAAGTTCTCATGAACATCTTTGTTCATGTGACTATGAGCACACAGAAATTGGGTTTGGCATAATGACACACCTCTTATTTTGTTGGGTTTACCTCTCTTGAGTCTAGACTTGAATTTAGATATCTTGCATGGAGTTCATGGGGTGAGAACTAGGGTGGACTCAAAACAATCTGGTACTGGGTGACCAGCTGAAGATAATAAGTACGATGTGGCTCATGAACCAGAGGGCTCTGCCTCAGGTTACTTTATTTCAACTCTATTTAACTATCCCAGCTTTCTACTGACTATTAATGAAGAATCTTATGTCTATGGTATGAATTGAGAATCAGTACTTCTGAAGTAGAAGGGTATGGTTAAGACCAAATAACAAGGAATCAGTTGCCCACTTTCTATATTGTGGACAAAAGTTAGGGCTATGAGATTGTTCTGGGAACTCCTTGCCCTGTCAAGATTCTCCCCCTCTTCTCTCCATACAGCATCCCATTCTTGTTTTAGGGAGAAAAATCACAATTTCCTAGTGGCATGGACTCTAGTGTCGACGAGATCTGCATGATCTGCTAGCATTTTGTTCATAGTCAATACTACCTCCCTATCTCTGAAGGGCTTCACTGAGTCTTGCTATCTATGTCACCCTCTCCTTCTCCCGAGAGTGAAAAAAGAGTGTGTTTTTAGCTGGTGCTTTCTACCTCCTGCTGGCACTGAGTAGCCACCAAGAGCACAGCAGATCAGAACCTACCTTGTCCTGCACCATTTCTATCCCTATCATGAGGCCCTTGCCTCGGACATCTCCAACAATGTCAAACTCATCCCGCAGCTTAGCAAGCTTCAGTAACATGTAGGTACCAACTTCTTGACAGTTTTCTTGTAGTCTTTCTTCTTCAATCACCTGTTGAGAAAAAGCCCCAAATGAGCTTATGTGGCCAAAGTTTCAAGATTGACTGAGAAGCACAGAGAGATAAATGTCTATGACCCTCTTACAGTAACCAGACACACCAAACCCAGAATGTCCAGTGTGGACACACCATGGATAACACAAAAAGATTTGCAGTAAGCAATTAAAAGGTCTCAGTGAAAGGGATGCTTCTCCCAAACACTCCCACTTTCAGGGGTGAGTGAGAAAAATTTAGGAGAGAATATAAGGTATGTGTCAGTGTGTCAGTAACATAGATTCCATGATCCAGAATTTCATTATATCCAGGCTTTGCCGAACTAGGGTGCAGTGATAAAAAATATAAATGTTCTGAGGAAAGAAATTTCACAGGTGCTTTCTCTGCTGCGGGTTAGTGACCTTTGTCCTGCATCCTTCAGCCTGACCCAAGCTCTCATAGCCTAAGTGCCCCACCTTGGGACCCTGCCTTCTTTAGCTGAGCTGAGCCCTGTGTTTACCCAGAGCCAGGGCACCTGAAGATATTAAAGGATTTTCAACTAAGTTCTACCCCATAGCAGACACCTATGATTCTTGACAAGACACATGAAATATACTATTTCTATATTTAGATGATAGTAATTGCATGATTCCAGGCAAACCTTCACATTTTTAAAGACCTATTGGTTCACTTAAACCCTCTCTGCTTTCTAAATTGGTTGAGATGACACAGCACTAAAAAAAAAAAAAAAAAAAAAAGTTAGCAGTGTATACAAAATAAAATAAATGACACATTTCTACCCACATTTTCTCATCTCGTAACTTAATCATCTTTGAAGATAAATCTTAAGTTAGCAAAATAGTTTTGACTTACTTATTTTTATTTCAAAGTACTTTTAAATTCAATTTTTCAAATAGGTAAATCATATTCATGTTTCAAAAATTTTAGAGTGTAAATGGGTAGACGGTAGAATGATTCACCCCAGTCAGTTTCCATTCCTACAAATTTAGGAACTTCTTAGACATTTTTCCAGAAATACATTATACTTATTTAAGCAAATGTTATTATGTATTTTTTAAAGGACTTTTTCTAAAAGGACATTTTCAAGAGGAAAATATGCTTACAAGGCTAAATCAATGGTATAGGGATGAACAGTTGTTAATAGTACCTGAATTACCTAGTTGTAACCATATAAAACTTAGTTTTTCATTATTTATGATAGTGAAACAAAAGAAAGGAAGAAAAACATACAATACAAGGCTAAAAATTAAGATAAAAAGATGGATAGAAGTTAGCAACTATCCATAAGACACTATACAGATAACATTGCCACCTGGCGAGGCAAATTCTTATACTTCCCATGTATGTGGGGTTTATTATGTATTATTTCTTATCTAATATACTTTAAGCACCCAAAGTAGAACTTAAAAAAGGGGGGAGGCAGAGTAACAGTTGGAAACCTAACTGAAGTTGATGAATATTTAATTAGCTCTTCACTTCAAGCAACGTGTGAGTTCTGACATTGGGTGGTTTTCAAATAGATATTCTGTGAAATGTGCAATGTTGATGTGAGTGCTGGAACAAACCTCAAGCACAGCAGATCCAATGGTACAGGCCAAGGGGTTCCCTCCAAAGGTATTGAAGTGAAGCAGGCGTTTAGCCAAAGATCTGGCAATTTCTAGGGGTAGAAAATAAAAAGTGGATAGAGTGACACATTCCTACCTGTCACCTCCTAGCACACCACTGTGGTTATGTTTACGTAGGAAATGGCATCAGGGCTCATTCATTCATTATTCATCTAATAGGATGTTATGAACCCTAACCTAACCTCAATTGTGATTGTTCGGAGATTGTGCCTTTGAGAAGGCACCTATTGTAAAGGCTATGTGAAGATATAACAAGAAGGTGGCCATTTGCAAGCCAGGAAGAGAAATCCCAACACAAACCAACCCTGTTGGCACTTTGATATTGGACTTCTAGTCTTCAAATCTGTGAGAAAATCAGTGTCTGTTGTTTAAGAGACCCAGTGTGGCATTTTGTCTTATCAGCTTGAGCTAATACAGGGGATAAAGAGAAAGAGCTTCCTTGCTCAATGAGAAGTTTAATAACAAAATTTATAATGTGTTGTTTGGGTGGGAAAGTACCTTGAAATTTTGGACATATTGGGAATTTTGTATAGAACCTTAAATTAGCTAAACCTGTATTTTTTTCCCTGAGTTCTACTTGAGATAAAGTATCAAGAAAAAAAATCTCACATCAAAATCTAGTAACGTGATTCCAATTGTTTCAGAGTTGGTCATATTCATTGTACTTTACCTTTGCTGACCATATTTTTGGACATGTACTCATTCAATAAACACAGTGAAATATCACAGGGGCACCTAATTAGTGGTTTACAAATGTGCTTACTATTGGTAGGAAATATCAATACAATGATTTTAAGAGCTTCAATAATCAATGGTTTATAAAAAATGACACATAGCAAAGCCTAGTTCCATGGAATATGTATTCTAACATTCATTTCATAGAATGTTCTGGGTAAGTGAGATTTTACTTGTACTTGACTGTTTTGTTCATTGGACATTTGAATGGAGAAATCTGTCTCTCCAATCTTGAATCACAAGTAATCACATAAGAATCTTTTTGAAGACTATGACTCTTAGAAGTTCCAGAGTTGGGTTTGTTTTGATTTTGCAGCACATTTTCCTATCCTTTGTCAGTGTGGTGGGACCCTGCATTCAATTGTGGGGAAGGGAGAATTAGTCTTCCCTAAAGCAAAAGGGCTGGCTTTTCCCCATCTGCCCCACAGTCTGGCAGACAGACTGTTTCTCTTTCATTTGCTTGTTAAATGCATCATGTAGTTCTGTGACTGCCTCCAACCCACATAAGTTTCTACCTGTATGCCTGATACCATTGCCAATGCGGGAGGGCCAGGAGCAAGAACAAACTTTTGGGGTCCTACCTGGAGTAGTCACAACTGCTGCCATGGGAAAGCCATTCCCAATCCCTTTTGCCATGGTGACAATGTCAGGCATCACATCATGGGTTTGGAAGCCCCAGAAGTGAGAGCCCAACCTTCCAAATCCTGTCTGAACCTGATGAAAACAGATGCAAAATCATTGGAAAACTTTTAAGGATTTTAAAAAAATCTGAGTCTCTATTTTTTTTTTTTTTCCTTTTCTTCTCCCTGCCCTTCTCCCTCCTTCTCTGCCCAGCTCATCCAGTTAATTCAGAAGTTGAACTTCTGTTATCTAGAAATTGCAGTGGTTTGGACTGAAAGTTGACCTTAGTTTTTTATGTGTCATGTCCTCTCTCTCTCTCTGGAAGATCCCTTTCCTGCTTCTTCATTTCGCTAACTTCATGTCTATCAAAACCAGGCTTACTCATTATCTGGTCTAGTAAGCTTTTCCTGAGCTCCCACTCCAGGTACATGCCATCAGGACCTCTCACTGTGGACTTTCATCTCCACTGCACATGTCCAATAGCAGGGACCTTGCCTTATTCCTCCCCTATGCACAATGTCTAGCACAGTGCTTGATACAAAAAAGACACTTAATATTAGTAGAACGAATGAAGGGGTGGCAGAAATGCTTAATTGAATAAAGCCTGACAAATATCTCCATGAAAATTTCTGACAGGGCTTTTCTGGTGAAGGTAAACTTGATCTCTTTCTGACTGTCTCTGTCTGTCTCCACACATGTATACACATGAACTTTGTTCAGGTAGGTCCTGGCTTAGTTTACCGGCAGGTTGGAGAAAGAGGATGAGCACTGCAAGTGGGGATTAGGTATAGAAGAAGCTCATTCTAATATGCAATTAAAAGAGCAAGTTTCTTTCTCAGGCTCCCTTCTTGTTTTCCCTACTCTCTCCTGGTCACTGCAACAAAGGCAGATTCCTGGGGTTATTCTTAGATGATACTAACCAGTGTAGGAGAAGGGCTTACATATAGGAGTCAGAAAGATCTGAGCGGAATCCTGAGTCTTTTACTTCCTAGCCATGGGCCTTTGGGAAAGCTGATTAATTGGCCCAAATGAGATACTGCAATGAAGCCTATACATTTTGTCTTTCTGCCTGTCTTCCTCTTTCACTTTATCTAGGAGCCATAAGTAGATGGTATAAATGGTGAAACATTAAATTACTTGAACAATGAACAAAATTGTGCAGAGCAGTAAACCATGATTAGTCACTTAGGAAGAATCAACATTAAGACAGAGATGGATCACTCCCAGGCGAATAACCTCAAGTGCCTTCCTGGAAGTGGAGCAGCTGGGTCTATAACAGAGATAAGGTGGGACTCTGAATGTGCAATCTGCCTAAAAGCAGTTAATTTCAAATTCATTAGGACAGCCTTTAGGACAGGCCTTAAGGTTACCCTATGTGAGAGCAGCATCCAATTATATTCTTGAAAGACATGAAACCACATCTCTTGAAAAATTCTGAAATTCTTATTTTCTTTGAATTCCTCCCACCTTCTCTCTAGTTGGTCCCACCATGGCAGCTCACTATGTGCTGATTCAGAGGCCAAAGTTCATCCACTTCCCTGGTGTAGCTAATTTCAAAATGATTGACTTTAGTTTTCTTTTGTGAATATCGGGTGAACTTTATTCAGGTAGGTCCTGGCTTAGTTTACCGGCAGGTTGGAGAAGGGAGGATGAGCACTGCAGGAGGATCCTGGCCCAAGTCATGCTAGTACACTAGGGCAGCAGGACTCTGGGGGCATAACAGACACCTGGTACACGTAAAGAACAGGCATTTACAAAATCTCTGCCAAGGGACAGTGCAACATCAGTTGAATTTTTACTCAAAGAAAACTGTTCATGCACAGATGGTGGAACTGAAACAGGCATGAAACACAAGTTCTCCACCTGTCCTTGGTGGGTCTAGCTAGGTATTAGTGCAATCATTATTGCAGTGAGCTGGGAGGACATCCATGCCTGGTGGCCATTCTTTGGCTGTTTATCTCCTGGCTATTCTCAGATGACAAAAGTCTGTTTTATTTGATATGCTGTAATATGAGGTATAATCTCAGTAGATCCATCCTTTTAAAAACATGAGCTAGAACTCATACAGCCCATGAGTTTTATTGTCTTCAAAGTAGTTCTGTTGGGCATACTGTGTGCTTAATACAACAGTGCTGTCTCCACTCAACTAGTTTGCAATTTTTCAAGAACTATTTTCTAAATGTCAGCAATAGAGGCACTTGACTGGATTACAATTTATAAAACTATCCTTTCCAGGCAAGTTCAGTCAGAAAAGTATATGCTGCCAGATTGGTTAATATTATTTTGGTAAAAATAATATTAATTTGGTAAAAATTAAGATGAAAATTTGGTTATGAGATAAAATTTCTTATATGATTTTCTAGTGTTCTTGTAGCAATCCCCAAAAAAGAATTAAAGAAAAAAAACACATATAGTAATGGTAGCATAATCTATGCCTGTTAGTAACTTATTTGATAGACATCACCTTGGATGTTGATGTTCTATTGTACTTGTTAAACCAACCAACTAATCTACTAACAAACCAGCCAGCCAACTGGAAGAAGCTTCCTTCATTTATGGTCACGCTCCCAAGTTTGTGCACTTGCTGCTTTCCTCCTGGAATTCCAAGGAGGATTTGAAGAGTTTTCTCTCTGTGACTGTCTTGTTCCCATTGCACCAAGTTACACCCTCGGATTGCTACTCACTTCATCGGCAATGCACACACCTCCCCTTTCTCGCACCAGCTTGAAGGCTTCCTTGAGAAACCCCTTTGGGTACTGGACAATGCCATTCACACCCTGCAAAAGACCAAACCAAGAAGACCTGTAACATCAGCATAAAGAACTTTCACAGTTTTAGAAAAAAGAAGATGAATCATTATCACTATTAACATGATAGTAATGCTAGCAGTGTTTTATTTTTTTAAACATTTAAAAATTTTTTTTTCTAATTAGTTATGCATGACAGCAGAATACATTTCATTTCATTGTACACAAATGGAGCACAACTTTTCATTTCTCTGGTTGTACACAATGCAGAGTTGCACTATTTGTGCAATCATACATGTACCTAGGGTAATGATGTCCATCTCATTACACCATCTTATCTACCCCCATGCTCCCTCCCTTCACCCCCTCTCCTTTGCCCAATCTAAAGTTCCTCCATTTTTCTCATGCCCCCTCCCACTGTTATGGATCAGCATCCACTTATCAGAGAGAATGTTCAGCCTTTGGCTTTTGGGGATTGGTTTACTTTGCTTAGCATGATATTCTCCAACTCCATTCATTTACCTGCAAATGTTAGCAGTGTTTTAAACAGCCTGCAGAACTGTTCAAACCATGGGTGAGAAAAGGAGCCATTACTATTATGCCATGCTTTTTGGGGAAAGGAAAAAAACTTTATTCTTTTGTTAGAGTACAAGAAAGTAGAATAAGGGGATTTGGTGAAATTTAAGAAAACTCCCCCTGAAAATGTTGGGTGTTAAGCACATAAAAATCACTGGGGTTTCCTTATTCCTGAGAATTGTTGCAATTCAGTAGCTTTGTGTATCTGTTCAGTGTGGGAATGGAGGAGATGGATCTTTAAAAAAGTTAACAGAAAACCAGAACATTATTTTTTAATTTTATTTTCTTTGTTTTAATGGGACCAAGACAATGAATTGAATCTGAAGAGAGATACAGCAATAGGCATTTAATTAATTTGAAATTGTTGAGCAAGTATGAGTTAAAATTCTCTGATAATGGGACACTGATCAACTAATGTGTACGGTTCTTATACCCACCTGAATTGGCTCTGCAAAAAATCCAGCAATTGACTTGGCCACAGAAGTGTTCAGAGTATCTTTGAACTGTTCAATATATTGCTCTTTAGCTTGGCAGAAGTCTGCAACAAATAAACACACAAACCACAGCATTTGAAGATATGAGGAAGGCATCCAGAAGAATGGGGAAAAACAGAAAAGAAGCAGAAACAGGGTGAGCAAATTGGTTAGAGATCCTCATAAAATGGTAAACTAGGATATGAGGACATTTGTTTCTGTGTGAACCAATTATACTGATTAGAACAGCCATAGAGACATGAACAAACCACTTAAACAATTTCCATCTGGGGAAGAAATGCCTCGTTTCTCAATGAGTCTGGTATAGCTAGCTATTTTACCTAAGGTTATCCATCCTCTCAAATGAATGCATTTAATTCCAATGTAATTGGACTATTTATTTGAAAATAACTCATTTACTTTTTATTACGACTTAATATGATGTACAGTTTTAAAGTACAAAATGTTTCTGTCTTCAGAGTTAGTTAATATCTCTGTAAAACAATTGGAATTCAGGCTATGGAGAATGTGCTAGAACCAGATAACTTGGTATCTGCTGTAGTCATGGACACTGGATCCTGTGCTGTTGTCTACACACCTTTTTTTCTTTAACTGAGGAAAGGAACTGCACCTTATTAATTTTTAGAATCTGTGTCCAAACAAAAATGTGTCTGGTATACTGTAGTTGCTTAGTAAATTTTTAATGAATTAACAGGGAAATAAATGGTAGAAATTGTGATTGGTATGAGACATTGAGCAATTTCACTTGAAAGTCTTTCTTCTAGGGAATAAAGTATCCTCTAAGTCCTTAACTCATTAATTTTCTTTTTGGCTGGATTCATCTGTGGATAAACCCACCCACTGAGTTTTAAATGCTAGTTTTTCTTTTTTATTACTGGAAGATATATTAGTTTTCAAAACTTGCATTTTCATTCCTTATAATTACTTATTCCCTACCCACAGTATATTTGATTTTCTCTAAATACATCAAACATATTCATCTTATTGTCTGTCTGACAGTTGTGTTGAAATATTCATGGGTCTTTTTCTTGATTGTGAAGTTTTATTTCCTTGTACGTTAGTTGTTTTTGACTATGGGTATTTTACTTTCCTCCAGATTTCATTCGTGAGAATTCTTTGCAGCCTAGAATGGGTTAGATTTCTCCAGAGCATATTTGCATTTGCAGTTCTTGGGCACACAGGTATTCCCAGCCTAAGATTCCTCTCAATTATCAGCTTGAGGTAGTGACATATATAAAAAAACCTGTGTATATGTCATGTGTCATTCTCATTCACCACCACCACCACCATCATCATCATCATCATCATCATCAATCATGATGATCAGCCAGTAGTTCAATTTTCAGTGATGATTACTACCAGGTCCTCTTCACTTCCATTAAACATGAGGATGAGAATCCTTGAAGATCTTTTTGCATGTGAGGAGTTGTTGGTGCATTTACTTCTAGTTGACCTACAAGGATGTGGCCTCTTAGGAATTCCAGCTCTGTGGCTGGAGAGCCTTCCCTATCCAATCCCTTCCTTTGTCTGGGCTCTGGACTTTGTCATCTCTGCCCTGCACTTCACAGAGCTATGAACACTGAACATAATTTATCCTAGGCAAAAGTATAGTACCCCCTAGGCAAAAGTATAGTACTCCCTAGGCAAAAGCTGGCTGCAGTACCCTGATGATCATTTTGGGTTTCTGAGAATTTTTTTGTTTGATTTTTTCTTCTTTTTTTTAGAAATCCACAATTTTTAAAATTTAAGACACCTGTAAAATTTCAAAGACAAAATGAATTATACTATCATATATAACTAAAAAGAACTAATAAAAATTAAAAGACATTTTCAAAGTTTAGAAATGAGGTATGGGTAAGAAAAATCTAAAATATGATTTTAACTTAGTAGTTCAATGTGTTACTAGTAGAGTACTTTAGGATTTTGAAAATGACCTTTAACCACATTTTACCCCCTTTAGATTGTTTTGACAGATCTAGTAGAACAAGTTGTGAATTGTAAGAATACTTTAGCCTAAGAATCTCTCATGGATGGGCTGGGGCTGGGGCTGGGGCTGGTGCTGGGGCTCAGTGGTAGCACACTTACCTGGCATGTGTGAGGCACTGGGCAATTCTCAACACCAAAAATAAATAAATAAAATAAAGGTCTATCAACAACTAAAAAATATATATTAAAAAAAGAATGTCTCATGGAGTATATTATACAGGTAGGTGGGAACATTTTTATCATTCTTTAGACTCATTTTATCTTTCATTTTTGTTGTTTTAAAAATAACCTTGATAGGAGAGAAAATAAGCTCTCCTGAATAAAGAATTTTCCTTTCTCCAAGTAAGAACTTGGTCTTGATGTGATTCCCCACCCCCACCCCCGCCAAAAAGTATAGAAAAGAGTAATCTCTGAGTTCCCAGTTTTGCTAGTTTTAGTTTAATTACAGGTGTACTTTGGCTAGTGGAATATTTATTTCTTGGCTTATGTTTAAATAGGTTTAAAAGTAATGTACTTGAGTTTAGTTGTATAAAATTAAATAGGTTTTTGTATAAATAGGAACATTGACTGTCATAGGTGAGTTCAGAATATTATATGAAATATTTTACTTGTATTAATCAAGTAATATTTGATTTTCAGAGATTTCTGAGAATTCTTACTTTTTTGAATCATGCTTTTACAGAGGGAGTGTTTTCATAATTTATCCTGGATTTTCATTTGATTTTACCTGGAGCTAACTCAGGCTATCATATTGCTACCAGCAGTGGTTTTCTACCTAACCTAAATGTCTAAAAAGTAATCATATTTACATTTCCACCATGCTTAAAGATGCTCAACATATTCCTGATGGGCATGACAGATGCTTCACTAGCTGTAAATTTTACCACATAGATAGGCATGAAATCCTGTGGGTGGGAGAGAACTTGAGGAGGGAGAAGACTGTCTAGGAGGGTTGCCCAAGCTTTGGAAGCCACCATCAGTATGTCATCCCAGAAGGTGGGGACAACGAAGGGAACCGGTAAGGCGAGAAAGGAAGCCTTCTACTCTGGAATACCAAGGTCCCAGCTCAATTGCATCTATATGTGACTGAATATTCAGAATTTTTATCCATACTTTTAGTTTTGTCTTAGACAGCACCACAGCATCTCTGTGGTCAGCAGGAGGAATGCAGAGGGAGATGTGGATGGGGTGGGAGCCTCAGACCCTTGCCAGAGAAAGCAGACTGAGTGTGTACAGGGGCATCACCACCTACCATTTACAACTTGCAGCCTGTCTCCTGATGGCTAGAGATATGGAAGGCAAACTGCCAACAATCCTCATCAAATGAAACCATGAATACATTGTATCCTTCAGCTCTTCATTAAAAAGTGGGAAAAACACTACCTGACCTCAGACATCTTTTTAGGGTACATGTGCTATTTGGGAAAGGTTGACTAAGAGAGCTACCTGATATCTTTGGTTAATGGAGGTTGGGGGTTGGGGGTGTGAGGAAGGAGAAAAGGATATCAAATCTAAAAAATAGATTTTCAGCCCCACTTTTGTCATTTTGATGAGAGAAGGGGACAAATAAATCTATGCTGAAATTCCTTTTTTTTTTTTTCTTTAGGAAAGGAAAACAGGGTTTTCCTTTGGGTGTTTTGGGTGACCCTAAAGAATGGATCAGACATATATTCAAAATACATAATTTGGAGATTTAACAAGCCCAGAGAAATCAGCAAAATCAACTCCAAAAGCTTAAATTTGGGGAAACTCATACAAGGGAAAGTTTTGCTTGAACTTATGCTAGACATTTCATGATCCACCCACACATTCAGTGACGAAAGGGGTCATCTACTGTGTTCATCTCTTTATTTCACACTTGCTTCATTGGTTCATTGCTGTAGCTCTAGGTCAGGCCACCTCTGGAGAGACTTGGTGCATTGGTGTCTCCATGACAACATTAAGGAGATGTGGCTGCTCTGCTGGATACAGCAGAGTGGCTGTGGGAGAGTCTATTTTAGTTGGTGGTACAGAAGGAGTTAAGCAGAGTCAGAAACCAATAAAGAACAACAATTTTTAAGGAAAAGGAAGGTTTCCTTCCAAAAGGAGAACAAAATGATTAATATCAGGTTCAGGACATTGAGGGGGGCAGTGTGTGATGAGAGATGAATTTCATCTGGGTTACATCTGAAAGTTGGGGCTTTGGAATAAACCTCTGGAGAGAAAAAAAAATCCTGGGGAGATAGAGTAAGAGAACGAAATTTATCACATAAAATCTACATTAGGTTCATGGAATGGCCCCTTATAAGTTGGGAATTGATGATTTAAACATAGCAGGGGTAAGTCTCTACCATAGCTGGCTCCTGTATGCATCCAGTGAACAAAGAAAAACTGAGAATTGGAACCATTTGTACTCAGAGCACTTATATGTTGGGATGCATCTGTGAATACACCAGTTTGACAACAAAGACCAAAACTTCTTGGGTTCTAAAGGCCCTAGAAGAGGGCATTTTGTATTTCAATCCTGTTTGAATATATGTGATCTGTCTTGTCCCTTGAAGATGAGTTAAAAAAGAAAAACTGACTTCAGATACACCAAAAACAGCTCAGAGAAGCAAAAATGTACATCTGTCACTATAATTTAGTCTCTAAATGCCACCAAAGAGATGACTATGGTGGCCTGGCATTTTCAAGCTGGTTTAGGGTAGAGCAGAAATGCTCAAAAAGGGAGGATGCAGGGAAGGAGAGAGAGAGGAAGGTAAGGTACAGAAGGAGGGAAGTGGTTGGCTCTTGAGGCTCTGTCTACTGGACTCTGCAGGTGGCTGTGCAAACAGACCTAGGTCTGTGCATTGCATCAAACTGATTTCATTTCTTTGTGCCATACAGATGCTATATACATGCCTGGCTTTACTTGTTAAGGCAAGTAAATTTTAAATTTAAGTTGCTATTCATCACCTTCCTTTATAGAAAACTTTATATGCCTCAATCTCATGAAGTGCTGTGTTTGGAGCAGAGGGAGAAGGTATTGCAAAGAAAGAGAAAACTGATGCAAAAGATGAAGATTTTGCTCATAGCTGGACATGGCAGTATTGGGAGTGGAATCTATGACTCTTAATTCAATGCATCTCCTTAATACATCTCCTCAATTATGGTTGGAACAGGAAATGTTTTTCAGCTTAGGTTCACCTTGCTGGCACATTAGAGTGAATGAGTGTGGTCATAGGGGTTGGGAGCACTGGCCTTTGGGATCAGAAGAGCTGACCTAGCCTATCCTTTTAAATCCTAGCTTTCCTACTTCCTACCTGTGGATCTTGGTTTCCTCATCTTTAAAATGGTGAGTTTGGGTGGTAGCTTTAAACTTCCTTGTGGTTTTAAACTCTGTGATCACAACATCTTATCTTGTTCCAGTGCTCATTCTTTCATCCTTCTTCTTCCCTTTTGCCATTATCCCAAAGGAATTCTAAGGTGACTGGGAAACTTCTTTCTTGAAGACTTCCACCTTGCATTCTTCCTCTCAACCCAGTGACTCATACCATTCCATTGAAGATCATTTAGCTGGAGTAATTAATTTTTCCCCCTAGCACTACTTAGAAGCAGCTATTGGAAATATACCAGTGATAAATCTGAGTCAGGGTTTGCTGACCAGCAAAGAGCAGGTGATGCTTCCATGTGTCCTCTCTTCAGATTAACCATAAGTAAAGAATAAAAATATAAATGTGATTAGTAACTCAATGTTTTCCTTGTGAGGATGCCTTTAAAACTTTTGCAAGAGGCATCTGCAGTCTTCAGGGATTGCCTCATGTTTTGACAGATGCTCTCACTTTGGCTGGCACTCTGGGTCCCTGGAGAACTTGACTGGAGTTTTGAGATTACTCAAAGTATACTTTTCCCTCCTCCTTTTTCCATTAAAAGTTGGTAAATAATCCTGCTGCCTTGTTTTCTTTTAAAATTGATACCAGAGTTATTGCTAACAGAGGTAATTTTTAATTAAGTTTAATTAAGTGCCAGGTGGTAATCTACTTTAAAGTGTAGCTCTGATAGCATGAGATGCTTTTCCTACATTTTCCAGATGGTAAGGTCGTGGTAGGCATGAGAAGCGTGCATTCAACAAGGTGTCACTGGTTACTTTTTAGTTTTGTTTCCTTTGCTTTTTCCTTTCCCATTCCCATTTCTCTAAACTTGATTGCTCACTCAGGGACTGTTTTGCCCTTCTCCAAGCTCCTTGTCCCTCCTGTCCCTCCACTCCATCCCTTCCTTCCCGCCCAAATGGACCTGGTACACAGCTGCATTTCCTAATTGTTTGTGCTGGAGAATCTCGACAGTGGCTTCCTCCCCAAGGACCACGGAAAACATCTGGGCACATTGTCTGTAAATGACAAAAGAAGGATTTTGGTAAAACATAAACACAAGACAGCCAATTTGGAGGAGCAGATGGTTTCAATGAAGGCAAGAGGGCTTCTTAATTTGATATTGAAATTTCTTCCTCACTTCTTCCTTACTAAGGATGAAAATCTAATATTATGCTTTGAAGAGATTTTTTTTTCTTGGAAATCACTTATGCGGGCACTCTACAAGGAAAACTGATTACAATGTCAGTCTAGAAACAACTTTCTCAAGGGTTTGGTGGATAAGGGCATCACAAAGAATAAGGATAATTAGGTATCTGATTATGATGCTGGAAAGACAGGTACAGCATGTGAGAACAGAGGGTTAGAACAGTGACAATGACAGAAATTTTGTGTATTCAAGGTTCTCTGGGCTTTGAATTTCCTTGATTGTACTTACAAGCTACATAAATTTTAAAAACTCTGTCATTAATTATTACTCAGACTCTGAAGCCCTTTTTAAATTTTCCCCAAATTGTCTTCAATTCAGTTAAGGCAAATTGAGCCTCTGATTAATGACTGACTTTTTATTAGTTTAATATGAAGATCAGGAAAAAAATATGATCAATTATCCACATCAATCCTTACAGGAACAAATTAAAAATTTCGGGACTCACCGATCGACAACCCATCCCACTGGAGAGTCCTGTCTTGTAAGCCACTACGTTTGTCATACCAAGGGTGTAAGGACTGCATCCATGGTAGGCTCCTCTGTAAAATACAAGGGGAGAATGGGATCAAGTTCCCTTCTCTTTGGTTGCTAGCCTAGACAGAACAAAAGAAAAAAAATCTATGAGAGTAACAGAGATAAACAAGAACAACACAAGCATTCAAATCTGATGACTCCTATTCTTTTAAGCCCATGTCAGGTGAAGGAATTTATTTATCTATTTGACTGGTGTCATGGATTTGGAGTTGTGGAAGGAATTTTGAAGACCATCTGTTCAAGAACCCTAACTCTAGGACCTTCCCCACTCTGTTACGCTAAAGGAATGAAACCTGGCTTTTAGCAACATGCCAGAAATTCTATGTTCAACAAGGGCTAGTCATCTTGGGAAGACAAATATTTGTTTCCATGATGAAAAGATGGCTTTCTATCTTTGGAGAATCCTCTAAGTGACTTATAACCAGCCTTCTTGGCATATAAAAAACACAGGTTTTGTGCCTTTTGAGCCTGACCTGGTCATATTTAGTATAAATCATTCTAATATATTTTGACAATTTCTGAAGTCAAAATCACCCTTAAATAAAGTTTTAAGACTACTGGCGAGAATGGTCACATACTTCAAAGAGGAGACAAAGTTTGTACTAAACCGTGGTAGCACCATGACTTCTTCAAATAGATCATATTTATTTAGATATGTATATCTTGACTGTTATTTTGGTAAAACATCACAGTTCTTTAGTGCCATATTGCTTTGACGACAAACATTTCATTTTGCTTGTGATAGCTACATGTGAGTTTTCTATGGTATTTGTAGTATTGCATGTGCAATACTACACATATAAAGGACATATAAAGTCTTCTTTGAATTTGGACACACAGGTTAAAATGGGACTATTTCTTCATTCCATCAACTTTTTACTGTGAAGTATTCCCATGTGTTATGTCAACCTTTTGAGTCTGTTTAAATGTTCTAAGGCAGGACATTGTAAATAAAAATATTAGTTTTCTGTTATTTTAATAAATCTTATTTTTCTATTATTTTAATGCTAACACACTCCTCAAGTCTTCCTCTCAAATTTAACACTGGAAAGTCACCCCTAGAAAAAGTCCTCTCCTGTTTCCATGCAACAATTTAGAGACAGATTTAGTATTGGGGTAAGTCAACGTTTCTAAAATTAAATATTCTGAGGTATGATTACCTGAAAGAAATGATGTCTGTGTTGTTGGAGTGTGCCCTCGCCATCAGCATGGCCAAGTCATTGGCCTCTGAGCCACTGTTCACCAAGAAAATGACCTGGAGGGGAAAGGAAGACACATGACCTCATGCTTTAATTTAGCTCCCTATTGTTCAATTCATTCAAAATTGCTAAAGACTGTGTAGCCTCTGATAGTTCTATTGGAGATCTCTTCTATTTGATTGCTTTCAGATATGGCTATCAGCTCACCGTGACAGATAATTAATGCACAGAACAAATTCCCTGCTCATGTTCTGGCTTCCTTGAACAGATCCTTTGGGATTTCAAGACTCCTAGCCCTTTAAGATGGGAGCACCATACCTTAAGAGGCTCAGGAAGAAGTGCAGAAAGCTTCTCTGCGTATGTGTGCATTGGAGGGTGAAAGAAGACAGAACTCGTGTGCCACAGGCGGCCGAGCTGCTTTTGTGCAGCAGCATTCACCTTCCTAGAATCACAGGAGAGCAGAGTTACCCACGCTGTCACCAGGCGTGTCCTTCCAGCACATAATGGCCACTGAACCCAGACTGATGGCTGTTCTGGGAATTTCAAGAGGCAGATTTCATCCACACACAAGAAAAATGTTTAACCACTAGAGTTGTCTGATAGGAGATGTGTCGCCTCAGTAGGTAATGAACTCCTTCCTGAGATAAGTGTTAGGGGAGATTCCATGATTGTCTGTTATGGATTTTAGGAAATAAATTCCTAGTTTAGGAGGGAGTTCAGGCTTAGAATTTCTTCTGTGTTTTCTCATTAACTTTCCTTTGAACAGGTTGGAAAATAGAGCTGACTGGTGTCTTCCCATTTTGTTTTCATAAAGAGTTATGGATCTATTAAGCACAATATTCAAGATAGACACTTTGTCCTTCAAAGGAGATTCCGGCACCAGTGTCTGAGCAGTGATCAGTGTTGATGAACCTTTTTTAAAAATACTTTTTTAGTTGTAGATGGACACAATGCCTTTATTTTACTTATTTAATTTTTATGTGGTGCTGAGGATCGAACCCAGTGCCTCATATGTGTTAGGCAAGTACTCTGCCACTGAGCCATAATCCTAGCCCTTGATGAACATTTTTAATGATTAAAACACATTCTCTGAAGTCCAGGCTAATCTTAGAGTCAGAAGGTTCCTACTGGTGGACAGTAGGAACTAGCAGACATGTGAAGCTCCTCTTGGAAGGCCTTTGAAAGGCAGCCCAAGTTTTTTCAATTTAATCTAAAGGACAACAATTGCTAAAGGTTGTTTCACATCAATTCTGTTTGTTAATATCTATTGTACACACACACACACACACACAAATCAGTTTAGTGGCTCAGTAATTTTGAGACATAACAGACTAAATGGATTTATTTTCCATGGGATATGCTAATACCCTTAATAGGCTAATGTACAATGGTTTTCTCCAGAGAAGAGAGAGTCTGAAATGTTTTTAAGCCTATTTTCTCATGGGATCCTTTTTGCCAGAACCACTCCTCTGATCGGTGTTCCATAAATCTCACTTTCAAAAACTATGGAGTGTCAGTAAGCTCTTCAGAAGAAAAACTTGGCAGCAACACTGTTTAGAAAAACATGTTTAAGAGCCACATGAAGGGGGTTACTGGCAGCGTGGAGGATAGCCAGGTGGCATGGTGGCCTCCCACTGCAGGAAAGGAAGAACTCCTAGAACAGGCTTTGTGAGAACCAGTGAGAGGGGCCAGCCCAGTAGGAGAGGCATTTCAGTGGAAGAAAAATTGGTCTATGGGGTCGGGTTGGCTATAAAGAACGAAAGGCAGGAAAGGGTCAAAGATAACTTCAATATCCTTGCTTTTAATACTGGGCAAACCCCAGGAACAGTTGAGAAATACAGCTGCTATTCATAGGGGCTCCTTAAAAAAATAAATAGAAATAGCTTCATGTAGATGATGGATTAGTCTTGGAAATGTTGAATTTGAGCTGCTGGTGGGTTATCATGAGATGAAAGATACCCTAGATGATCATGGAAAATATGGGGACATCTTGCTGTCTGCTCTGGGCTCATAGACATATTGTAACTCTGAGAGGGACAAAGGGTGAAGGGTAGAGGCTCTGTAAGGTTACTGGAAATGTGGTAAATAAATAAGCAGGGAAGGGTCAGATGGAGATCAGAAGTATACAGAGGTCATGAAAGCCGGCAAGTGTTAGGACCATAAGGGACAACGTCAACATTATTGGGAGGATTCGGAAATAGGGTTTAAAATTGTTCTCGACTGCATTTTTCTCTACTTCTTTCATGCATGTTCATACTGTTTTAAGTTGCATCTGAAAAATATTTGGATGCTCCTTGGGATGTCATATGGGACTGATGCCTCCTGAATACAAAAGAGGAGCGAGAAGGCAATGGAGAGGATGAGGCCTGGGTCTGGTGGCAGCACTCACTCGTCACCTCCTGACAGGTGCTGGAGGAGGAGAACCCTGGACTCCTGATTTGATGGAAGGGCTTCAACATATTCAGTTTATTTTAGGCCTGCTGCCTTTTTCTTTTTCACTTCATACTAGTTTTATTGGCCAGATTGTTAAGGGCAAGGGAGAACAGACCTGAAAATGAGATGCTACACAGGAACCTGCCCAGGGCATGTGTGTGGGTGAGTTGATGATCAAGACTTCAGACAAGCTCAAGACTAACTGCTCCATATATGCAGCAAGGTTTGCATCTGTCTCTTATTATCCCTTTCCCCCTTATCTGTCTCTCAGTGTCCATGAAGATCCTCAGGATAGAAATTATTTTTCGCCTCTCATCATCCCTCATCCCACACACCTGTCTCCCTGTTGCTCTGAGACCCACCTACCCCTCTCTTTCTTTCTGCCCTTTCCTCAATGCACTCCTCTCTTTCAAAACTGTGACTAATGAGAAACACACACAGAAATGTACTAATCACATGGTACGGCCACACTGCTTGTGTAGTAAGAATGACAAAAACTTGTATTGTCAAGAAATGTGCAGCGTCAAGATTTTTTTTTAACTCAGGAAAGTGTGGGAGTATGTCAGCCACAATCTACGTGATAGATATATATAATTTTGTAACCAGAGTGAGCAAATCAAGAGTTCTAAGTCACTAACATGATTGTTTTTCATATATTCTTCTGGAGTTAAAACCCCAGGATTTTAAGGATACTTACGGGTGGCAGTGACCAACACTGACAGTGACAATCCCAGAAAAGAAATCCAGGTATCTGTTGCCTTCAGAATCAAATAGCCATTCCATGTGTCCCTGGTGCAGGAGCAAGGGCTTCTGGAAAAATGCTGTTGCCACAGGAGAAAGATGCTTCTTGTGGATCTCCAGGATATGGTTGTAGGCAAGAGACTGTAGGGAGAGGAGACTAAAATCCCTCTTTTCCTTTTTCCCCTGCAGTTCTTACAAGAGCAACAACAGGTCAATATGCTGATGCCTCTTCTCTCTTGCGGTTCTCTAGGGAACCAAACACAGCTGCCCTACAGGGGCTCACACCTGGCTGTATTTACCTATTCCCCTTCTTGCAAGAAATGAGTCCTCTTAAGTAGCAGAAATGATTCTCTGTGGTCTTTTGACCCCTTTGTAGAGCAAACCAGGAGAAAGGGACTAGAATTTCTACCTCTCAATGGGAAAGCTTAGTTTTGATTTGATTTTGACTATGGAAAAGGGGGGCGCTTTGGAAGTAAATCAATGTCATTTCTGTTGCATTAGTCTTTTTTTTTTTTTTTAACAACAACAACAACAACAAATGAATGGAGTACTGTTAGTGTTAGTGTTTTAATTATAAAACTTTTCTCCCTTGTTTCTCCTCTTTGTAGATTCACCCTGACTGTTGATTCCATAATTTCTCATCTATAATTATTATGTAGACTAAAGGGATTGTTCTGTGTGTGTGTGTGTGTGTGTGTGTGTGTGAGAGAGAGAGAGAGAGAGAGAGAGAGAGAGAGAAAGAGAGAGAGAGAACTCACTAGTTATTAGTCTGATAAGATAGCTGTATAATTTTTGGTGAAGGACTAAAGAAGGTCAGATTATTCATTGCTTTATGAGTTAGAAAAGAAATGAGTTTTTAAAGCAAATGCATGTCGTCATGTTTGTGATATGTGTGTGTCCCTGCAATATGTATATTGTCACACATGATTTCTTACTTGTACTTTTTGACACTAGTGCATGCGCATTAGTTCATACACTAGTACTAAATGATGTAAGAAGGTTTGGATGCTCCCAGTGAATAAAAGGATAGACTACCTGGGGTGGGGCTGCTGAGTGGCAGGCAGGGCCATTTGTGTGTGTGTCCTTTTTGAAGAAACAACTGAGATCTTCCAAGGGGAACCACCTCTTTGGATTTTCCCAAAGCACTGAGTCTTACCTGGTATTTTTCAGGCAGGAAGTCGCATGGTGGCATTTTGGGTTTTGAATGAAGACCAAGCTTGGTTCCAGATATCCAGGAAGCATCTGCTGAAAGTGAAGTGAGTTAGGTCCTCAACTAAACACGACAGAGGTCTGTTTGTGACAATCACCTATAGCTACCTGAATCAAGGTCCTTAGGCAATTTTGTTTCCAGTTTTATTTATTTATTTATTTATTTTTAATTTTTTATTGTTGGTTGTTCAAAACATTACATAGTTCTTGATATATCATATTTCACACTTTGATTCAAGTGGGTTATGAACTCCCATTTTTACCCCGTATACAAATTGCAGAATCACATCAGTTACACATCCATTGATTCACATATTGCCATACTAGTGTCTGTTGTATTCTGCTGCCTTTCCTATCCTCTACTATCCCCCCTCCCCTCCCCTCCCCTCTTCTCTCTCTACCCCCTCTACTGTCATTCATTTCTCCCCCTTGTATGTTTCCAGTTTTAAAAAAATCATTTGAATCAGGCTTTAATTTGGATTTAAAAACTAAGATATCTCAATAATAAATCTTCTGGGGCATGGGTAGATATTTCCTCTCATGTCTAGTTCAGAAAGGCCGCAAGGGTACTGGGGGAAGTCACGGTTTCTCCCACTGCAACCCTCACAGTCTTGGGAAGCCCAAGTCAAACTCCCCCTAGTGGCTCCCACCCACGTGGACTATGGTCCTCTCTTTAGTTGGCAAGACCTCTGCTAATGCTGTGTGCCCCCAGAGTCGGTCCACTTTGTCAATAAAGGAGTTTCCGGGCTCTGAAAAGCCTACTGCCAGAGTCCCAGAGCACAGTGGCTCCTAATAAGTGTGAAATTAATGGCTGTTGGCTCTTCTTATAGGGAAATAGGTGTTAGGCAATGCAGTGTCAACAAATACCTGCAGATAGATCTGGAAGACAAAACCTCCCAAGCAAAAGGCTGACAAACTGCTGTGACAAAGGGAGAAAAGTTGAACATTAAATGTGTGCAGCAAGGAGGAAGCTTAGAATTTTTATAGATGAGCCTAAGGTGGTAAGTTAATTTCCTTAAGGTCACCACGCTAGTTCGCTGAAGAATGAGAATGGAATTGCAAGCTCTGGCTCCCAGCCTACTGCTGGCTGTTCCTTGCCACTGGTTGGCCACCTTTCACTGGTTGGCCACATTCCTACTTTCCTGCCAGCGCAGACTCTGACTTCTCTGTAGCAGTGGGATGGGATAATGGAATCAGAGACAATCACAGCAGGAAGAGATGTCTGGAGAGCTTGTAAGTGCTCTTGGAGAAGAATGCTCCTAATTGTGAAGATCCAAGGTCAATATCAAGATAATTTTGCAGGTAGAAATTGCTGAGGAAGCCATGGTTCTTAAGCAGTGTGAAGGTCTGTGTGCCTGGATGACATGCCTGTGTTTTGCGTGACCAACTGTGAAGTCACAGTCCTGAGAAACACATTTGGATTTAAAAACAATTGTGTTTTTCAATGAAGTGAACAATTGTGTTTTTCAATGAAGCTGGAAAGGAGCACTTCTGTATTTTCTTTCAAAGAGATCCCACTCACTTTTCAGTTCTAAATAATCACTAATGTCATTAATTTGCTCTTACTTTAAAGCAAGTGGCTTTTAGTTATCTGTGCATAGAGATGACAAAAGAATAGCTTAGGATTTCTGAGAATTTCACCTTTTGAAAAGCTTTTTATTGTGACTCTCTGCATTAGTTACTCTTCTGAGATGGAAAAAAACTTTTTGAGTCTTTCTGAGAATTCAAAATCCCTTTACTTTATCTCATTTTCCTATCTGTAAAATTGGAGTTGCCCATTGAAGAAGTTATATGTTCTCTTGACTCCAAGGTTATAGGATTTATGAGTGTAGGCTGGTGGAGGAAGACAGTTGGAGAGAAAGACTTGATAAAGAAAGCAAGAATTTTAAATTTTCATTCATTCATTCATTTATGTACCAAGGAGATAAGCATACGATGGTGCCATGAAGGTTATAAATAAAATAAATAAAACTGTGCCTGAAGAAATGGAGGAAAGAAAGAAAGGAAGAAAGAATGAAAGAAAGGATGAAGGAAGAGAGCAGAAAACAAACAATCAAGGAAAAAAAATTAGTCAATAAGTAAAATAAATCTATAAAATACCCGAAAATCTCTTTCCTGTCATACCATCCACTTAATAAATAAAAACTCAAAAATCATTGTAATGATAATGATAATTAATGGCTTAAAAATGAAAATGCTTTAGTTTTTATTATTTTCCAAAAAAAAAATTTAAAATCTAAATATCTAGATAAGTATATGCAGTCTTTATTCAAAATAGCCTGTGTTTCCAGGATAAGAACTGAGGGTTAAAAAAGCTTTTTCTCATATTCTTGGAAATTGTGCATGTGCCTATGTTCAAGTAGGTATGGGTGTGGAAGGGGTTGGGTGGGGGAAGGGATAATTGAGATTTGGGTTAATCCAGTTGAATTCCGGGTCTATTTCTAAATAGGTATTTTTATGTCTCTTTTTATTGTTTTAACTGATCTGATATTGCCTTTTTAGAATAAAAACAAATGACAACTGCTGATTTTCATCCAATTTAACAATTTCTACTTCAGCTCACACATATAGCGCAAGACATTAAAAGAGAATTCAATTCAGGGAATAATATCTCTCTAGTAAAACAAAGGTCAATTGGGTTTAATTTCTCAGTTGCTTAATTCTCACAGAGAATTCACAGCAGACCATATTGCTTTAATTTTGCTTTCTTTTCCTGAAATCACATCAAAATGGTAAAACTGTTGGGCAAGATAAATGAGAGAAATCAATTTTTTTTGTGGGCCTTTGTAATGGTAAAGATTTTTATAACATCTACAATCAGTTTTCAACTGAGATAGAGTATTTACCAAGGGCTTCCTCACCCTCACACACACAAAAATTAAGTTTACAAAATGCTTGAAAAACACACAATGCATGCAATGTGCTTTATTAAAATGCTAATTATATCTGATTTCTGCCAGCATCTTAGGTAACTACAAGGCACTTGTCTCATATGGTATCTTATTTGATACTTAGGATAGCCAATGAGTTAGGAAAGGCATATTTTTACCATCTACCCGTCTTGGAGCTGAGACAATGACATTAAATGTGAGGCCTTGCCTGTTTTGGGGACCTTCACACTGTTGAGAATCTGAGCTACCTACCTTCCATGGAGGCTTGTTGAAACTGCTGGGGTCCAGAGTGAGGTACAGTGACTGGTTAGAGGAGAATTATTTTTTCTCACACCCTTCTCCTGCACTGGAGCTTCCAGATCCTTTCCCCTTCATAAACTGTCTCTCAGTTGCAGGGGATACTCTCTGTTGCTGCTCTGTATCATTCAGTCCCTGACAAATTCTATAACACTCTTATTTCTCTGCCCCATTTTATGTACTCAGAGCAAAACACCAGGTAAATGCCTCCCACCAGTGAAACTCTTATCAAGCTACTTCTTCCAGATATTATGGCTACTCCTGCCTGGCCCTCCTTGACCCCTCTTCATGCTCAGTCCTGTCTACCTCCTCAAACTCCTGTGGGTGATTTCAGCCCCCTTCTCCCTCTTTCTGCTCCTTCTTGTCTTCCTGACACATGCCCTTTTGATGGAGTTATAGTTGTTCACAAGCAAGAGAGAGCTGCCTGATTCTGGACTGGTGGGTCTTCCTTTCCCCACTTTGGGAAGTGAGCCTTTTCTGAGATCAGTAAGGGGTACAAGCAGGAAGCCTCCCTTTGGGGCTAATTTTATTTTATTTTTCTTATGGAAATGGACATTATTTACCATGCATGCACTCTCCTGTGAACCCCTTGTTTGTGAGAGAGACGACCTATGTTAGGAAAACAGCACACTGGAGCACATTCCCCACCTACCGAGAAACTATATAAATTTTGCAGCCTTAGCAATTTTAAACAGCACACCAAGAATTTTTTCCATTCTTTATACTGAAGGCAAATTGCTTTTATAACTTTGTAAACATCTTTAGCACAAAGTGGTTGTGCCTATCAAGATAGGCAAGGCTGAATATTTTGTGTATATCAATATCATTTAGTAGATATGTGGCTATTACAAAATTATGGTTTATTTATTTCTGCATTTGACAACACTTAACACGTGGAGGTCTTATCTGCTTCAATCCTTCATTCTATTTTTCTATTCTCTTAGCTTGACTTGTTTTTACTTATAGTATGTATCTTTATATTGGATTTATATATATATATATATATATATATATATATTTATTTATCTTGGTATTCCTGTCTCACCTCTGGTATACACAAGAAAATGGATTTTGTCTTGTTCATTGTGGCCATGTCTGCAACAATATGCATAATAGATGCTCAAGTAATTTGAATGTACATTTTGCACATGGTAGGTGCTCAAGAAGTATGCATTTATTGCAAGTGCTAGTGTTCTGTGCAAGTCCAAGTGTATGTATTATGAGTGTGCATTTGAATGAACAAACACAAGCAGAAATATTTATAGGTATAGTAGACAAGCAAGTAGACACAAAGGCCCCAAAACTTTTTGAAAGACTATGTGAAGAATGTGGCATTCATGTCTATGTGGCACAAGTTTAACAGATTACTTCTCTGTAGTATGCTTGGTAGAACTGCATCTAGCAGTTCCCAATGAGTTTATCAGATCTCTAGGCACCAAAAAGTACATGAAAAATGCATAACACCACTACTCATTGGAAAGTTGCAAATCAAACCACCATGAGGTGTCACCTCACCCCAGTTAGAATGACTAGTTTTTAAAACAGCAAAAAATAATAAATACTGGAGAGGATGTAAAGAAAAGGGAATTCTTATCCACTGTTGGTGGGAATGTGAACGAGTATAGCCATTGTGGAGAACAGTATGGAGGTTTCTCAAAAAACTAAAAATAGAACTACTATATGATCTAGTTTTCATACTTGTGGGTACAACCACAAAGGAAATGTTATCAGCATGTTAAAGAGATACTTGCATACCCATGTTTATTGAGGTACTCTTCACACTAGCCAAGCTATAGAATCAACTGAAATGACTACTGGCAGATGAATAGATTAAAAGAAGGTGGTGTATATACAAATGAATATCATTTAACTATAAAAAAGAATGAAATCCTGTCATTTGCTGCACAATGATTGGGACTAAAGGACATTGAATTAAGTGAAATAATAAAATAAGTTAGATACAGACAAATACTGCACATTATTTCCCCAAACTGCAAGCTAAAAATACTGATATCAAAGAAGAAGAGAGTAGAACAGTGATTACTAGAGGCTGGGAAAGTGGTAAGGAGAAAGAAGGGAGATTGGGGAAAGGGTATCAAAAAACAGACAGGAGGAATGACTTCTGGTGTCCTACAGCACAGTGGGATGAACATAGTCCACCACAGCCTAAATGTCATGAAGAGCTAGGAGAGAGGAGTTAACAGGTTCCAAACAGAAAGAGATGACAAGGAGCTGGAAATGACAATTGTTTTGATCTGATCACTCTAGAATGTATATATGAGTGGAATTATATGTGTGAATATGTATGACTGTTGTATCAATAAAAAATAAAATTACAGATTAAAAAAACAGAACAACAACAACAACACAAAACCAAAATAAAAACCCTCTCTAGTTACCAAGCCTCACTTGCCATTTCTAAGTCACTGGCTGCTACCATTAGCCCAGCTCAGAGACTGGGGTAGAAAAGGGGAAAGGGCCAATTGAAGAGAGCATTATCGCTCACTTTGTGAATTACTGGTACTTTCAGCATAATTTTCCCCTTACTGAGCATAAAACTCTGGTATAATTCTAACTCCTTCTGAGAAAACGGGGTTAAATGATGTCCTGGAAAAACCATATGAATTAGGGAAAAGAGAATTCTAACTCAAAAGGAAGAGTGTGGGTAAAATTGGGCATGGTGGGATCACTTTCATTTGGAGTCAGACAGATCTGGTTTTTAATCTCAAATTGTCACTTCCACGCTTTTGCTTTTGACCACAATTCTTCTTATTTTTTTGTTCTTCTGTCTCCTCATCTGTGGAATGGGGTTATGGTATTTACTAACAAGATTTTGTGAAGGTGAAAAAAATAATATGTTGAAAGCATCAGGCAGGTATTCACAAAATTGCAATTGTGGAGTGGGGGCGTGAAAAAGGAGAGAAAGCAAGGAAAGAGAAACAGGAAAGACGAGGGAAAAATGAAGACAAAATTGACCACAAGGGAGAATGGAAAATGGTCCCCTTTGACCGTTTGGGGCCTGTGGGGCACAAGATGCTACTCTGGCATAGAAACATACAGACAGCTGCTTAAGCTTGTGATGGCAGGAAGCAAGTGGTTAGGATGTAGTGGGGCTCTAAGGAATCAAGATCCATGTGAAAATCACCAGCACGTAGGATAGAATTCCACCAATGTCTGGCTGCCCCAGGTCTTCTCACATTTACTGTTTCTGCTGCAGAAAGAAGAGAGTCTGAGCAGAAGGGGAGAGCCTGGGGTCTGGTCCTGGTGTGCCTGGGTGACTCTGGGCAAATTTACTGCATTTCTGAGTCTCCTTGTCAGTAATAGGGTGGGTGTGGGGTGAGGGTACCTCCTAGGGGCAAGGTAAAGATTTGTGAGGATATGTCTTTAAAATGGTCATCCCTGGGCATCTATATATTGAATTTAATGCTTTAGTTTGAATTGCTTTCCCTTGATTACTTCTTTATAATACATCTAAGATAGCATGCCATTCTCATTTTGACATTGTGTATAGTCAGGTTTTATTATCCATGGATTTCATTTCAGAACAGAGGGGGCATTAGAAAATATTGTCTATGGAAAGGGGACACGGCATAAGACAGGATGGGAAATCACTGTTACATGCTCAGTTTCTAAGACCCCATCCAGCTCTTACATTCCCAATTCCCAGACAACAGACTCCAGAGTTTGTGCCTTCCCTTCTTGCTGACCCTCTGCTGACCCATGTACCCCTGGTTTCCACTCACGGCTCAGCGAGGGACACAACTTGGAGGTCCTGGGAGAGGAGGTCTCCAGGCACAAGGCTCTCCGCAAATGTCTCCAGGCTGAAGTCATTTCTCCCAGGCAGGAAGCAAACTCCTGTAAAAGCAGGTCAGTGGGAGAATGGGCTCCAACTGCACACTGACCAGCTGGACTTTGAGATTAGGAGGGGGAGGAGGCTCTAGAAGGGGAGTCCTGGGCTGGTGACTGCCAATGGCCTTGGGTTAGCTCCAGGGCTTGCCATCGCCTGCAGTAGTGCCTCAAGAGAGGAGAAATAGGGAAAGTGGTGGGGGAGGTAGCAGGAGGAGGGGGAGAGTGAGAGAGGAAGGAAAGGAGAAGGGAGGGAGGGAAGGAGGGGGAGAGTGAGAGAGGGAGGAAAGGGGAAGGGAGGGAGGGGAGGAGGGGGAGAGTGAGAGAGGGAGGAAAGGGGAAGGGAGGGAGGGGAGGAGGGGGAGAGTGAGAGAGGGAGGAAAGGGGAAGGGAGGGAGGGGAGGAGGGAGATGGAAGAGAGAGGAGGCTAGGCCAGGTGGTTCAACAAAGCAAAGGTTGTTTGGACTTGTTTTGTTTGTCCTATATTCCAGCTGGTTCTCATTAGGTCAAGCTTCTCTCTGCAGGAGGCTGGTGATGGGTGCTGGATGAAGATCAGTATGAATTTGAAGGGTCTAGAAATTGAGAAATCAGGGAGGTCAATAAGAGTGCCAGGAAGAGGGTCTCTAGAAAGTGAATGAAAATTGGTTTGGGGGTCTTAGAGAAAAGAGAAAAGAGTAATGGGGAAGGAAGCATTCAAAGGGACAGAGGACAGGGTACCAAATAGCCTGATAAGGACCTGGTATATATGGATCCTCTTAATTGCCTGAATGAGGCAAGGGGTTGCGAACTGGGGAGTTAGTGTGCTTTATTTCTATGATATTTTTAGTGTTTTAATTTACCATTCATCACTCTGGCCTCTTTCTAACTCCAATCTCCATAGGCAACTATATAGTGGGTTTATATCTTTTTGTTGGCATCTATTCTTGGAAAATGTGTATTGTTTGGAGTGAATGCATTTTCAATTTATGCGATATATCATCTTTGTCCTTTCCTCCCTACCCAACTCAGAGCCATGTTTTTAAGATGTAACCAGGTTGCTATGAGTTCATCTCTCTGAGGTTTCCAATTATTTCAAAAAATGAGAGTCAATTCATTTTGCCTGGAACACTTAAGGGGGATAGTGACAAGGTAATTGGATCTAGAGGGGACAAGGAAGTGGGGAGGGATAGACCCTGTTGATCTTGCAGAAAGAACAATTGACTTGATTATATTCTTTACCAACACCTGGGAAACAAACTTTTTACCCCAAGTGCCCACAGAAGATGGGGGCAGTAGGTAAGCACAGAGAACATTTTAAATTCAACGTGAATTGTCTCCCTTTGCCTGGACTTCCTGCTCCTAGCCCATTCTGCTTTGGGGGTTGTGTGATCAGGCTGGTCAACTCCTGCAGGAGTGACCCAGGTCAGTGAGGCCAAGGGACATAGCCTCTCTCTGGGAAGCACAGTCTGTCAGGCTGTTAGGCTGTGGGGAGCAGAAGTTGAGTTCCTGAAGTCTGGTGTGAGCTGTTGAGCTCTCCTGGGCTTTGGTGTTTGGTGACGGCCTGTTTCTCATGGAGGTCACTTTCGCATGTCCTCACATAACAGATGGAGCAAGCAGGCTTGCTAGGGCCTCTAGGTAAGGGTAAGAATCTCATGGATGAGAATGCCATCCTCCCCCAAGAACCCCTCAGTACCACCACTTCCAAGGTTAGGATTTCAACATGTAAATTTAGGGGGATATATACATTCAGATCATAGTAGGCACTATTCAAATATTTCTCCTGCTCTCTTCTTTCTTTTCCTTCTGATAATTCAATCACACGTATATTACCCCTTGTGAAATCATCTCACAGTTCTTTGAGGTTCTATTATGAGGGTTTTTTTGTCTTCTCTTTTTTCTCTCATGCATTTCTTCTTGGGAAGTTTCTGCGAGTTTTTAAACTTAACAAATCTTTCCTCAGCCACATCATCTTCTGATGAGCCCATCAAAGGTATTCTTCCTGTTACAGAATTTATGATTTCTTGCATGTACTGTAGGCTCTTTCTTGGAATGTCTATCTTTCTGCCTATATTGCTCATCTGTATAATATTGTGTATTTTTTTTTCCATGGGAGCTTTTAACTTAGTAATCATACTTATTCTATATTGATAATTGCAATACCTGTGTCATATCTGAGTCTGCAGCTGGTGCTTATCTTTTTCTCTTCAGACTGTGTTTTTTTCCCCTAACATTTTATCATCCCTTGTAATTGTTTGATAAAAGCTGATCATGTTGTATTTGATAATAGCATCTAAGGCAAATAAACCTTTTGGGTGAGATTTTATGTTAATCTGGTTAGGAAATCAGGCTAAATTTAGTGTTTGCTCCAACTGTAGGTGCCGCAGGATTTAACTTCTAGTTTCTTTGCTTTTGTATCCCCTGTTGTCTTTGAGTTTCCCTAAAACTTCCTCCTTAAAAAGAATTGGGGTCATAATGGAATGAAATTAGAAATCAATGATAATATAAAAAAATAAAAACTACTCCGACACCTGGAAACTAAATAATATGCTACTGAATGAACAATGGGTTGCAGAAGACATCAAGGAGGAGATTAAAAAAAATTTGGAGGTTAATGAGAACACAGATACAACATATCAAAATCTCTGGGACACTATGAAGGTAGTTCTAAGAGGAAAGTTTATTGCATGGAGTTCATTCCTAAAAGAAGAAGAAGTCAACAAACAAATGACTTAATATTATCATATCTCAAAGCCCTAGAAAAAGAAGAAATCTAGTGTAACTGATGTGATTCTGCAATCTGTATACGGGGCAAAAATGGGAGTTCATAACCCACTTGAATCAAAGTGTGAAATATGATATATCAAGAACTATGTAATGTTTTGAACAACCAACAATAAAAAATTAAAAAAAGAAGAAATCTACACCAAAAGCAGAAGAGAGAAAATAATTAAAATCAGAGCTGAAATCAATGAAATTGAAACAATTGAAAAGATTGACAAAACAAAAAGTTGATTCTTTGAAAAAAATAAATAAAATTGACAGACCCTTAGCCATGTTAACAAAGAAAAGGAGAGAGAAAACTCAAATTGCTGACATACATGATGAAAAAGGAAATATCATGACAGACACTACAGAAATACAGAAGATAATTAGAAATCATTTTGAAAACTTGTACTCCAATAAAATAGAAATATTGAAGGCATCAACAAATTTCTAAAGTCATATAATTTACCCAAAGTGAATCAGGATGATGTACACAATTTAAACATATAAATTTCAAGTGGCAAAACAGAAGATACCATCAGAAAGAAGTCTACCAACCAAGAAAAGCCCGGGTCCGGACAGATACACAGCTGAGTTCTACAAGACCTTTGAAGAAGAACTAATACCAATACTCTCCAATTTATTTAAGGAAATAGAAAAAGAGGGAGCACATCCAAACTCATTCTATGAGGCCAATATCACCCTAATTCCAAAACCAGGCAAAGACACATCAAAAACAAACAAACAAAAAACTTCAGACCAATATCTCTAATGAACATAGATGCAAAAATTCTCAATAAAATTCTGGAAAATTGAATAAAAAACATATCAAAAAGATTGTGCACCACGATCAAGTGGGATTCATCCCAGGGATGCAAGGTTGGTTCAACATATGGAAATCAATAAATGTAATTCATCAATAGACTTAAAGATAAGAAGCATATGATCATCTCAATAGATGCAGAAAAATCATTTGACAAAATACAGCACCCCTTCATGTTCAAAACACTAGAAAGATTAGGGATAACAGGAACTTATCTCAACATCATAAAGGTTATCTATGCTAAGCCCCAGGCCAACATCATTCTAAAGAAAAATTGAAGGCATTCCCTCTAAAAACTGGCATCAACAAATTTCTAAAGTCATATAATTTGCCCAAAGTGAATCAGGATGATATACACAATTTAAACATATAAATTTTAAGTGGCGAAATAGAAGATGCCATCAGACAGGGATACCCTCTTTCTCCATTTAACATAGTTCTTGAAACACTGGCCAGTGCAATTAGACAGATGAAAGAAATTAAAGGGATACACATAGGAAAAGAAGAACTCAAAATGGCACTATTTGCTGATGATATGATTCTATAACTAGAAGACCCTAAAAGTTCCACCGAAAACTTCTAGGATTAGTAAATGAATTCAGCAAAGAAGCAGGATATAAAATCAACACCTATAAATCAAATGCATTTCTGTGTATCAGTGACAAATCCTCAGAAAGGGAAATGAGAAAAACTACCCCATTTACAATAGCCTCAAAACAAACAAACAAACAAACAAAACCCAGGAATCAACGGAAGAGGTGAACGATCTATGTAATGAAAACTAAAGAATGCTAAAGAAAGAAATCAAAGAAGACCTCAGAAGATGAAAAGATCTTCCTTGCTCTTGGATAGGCAGAATTAATATTATAAAAATGACCATACTACCAAAAGCACTATACAGATTTAATGCAATTCCAATCAAAATTACAATGACATTACTCATAGAAATAGAAAAAGCAATCATGGAATTTATCTGGGAAAATAAGAGACCCAGAATAGCTAAAGCAACCCTTAGCAAGAAGAATGAAGCAGGTGGCATCACTACCCCAGACCTTAAACTATACTACAGAGCAATAGTAACAAAAACAGCATGGTATTTGCTCTAAAACCGACTGGTAGACCAATGGTACAGAATAGAAGACACAGAGACTAATCCACAAAATTACAATTATATTATATTAGACAAAAACATGCACTGGAGAAAAGATAGCCTCTTCAACAAATGGTGCTGGTAAAACTGGAAATCCATATTCAACAAAATGAAATTAAACTCCTCTCACCATGTACAAAACTCAACTCAAAATGGATCAAGGACCTAGGAATTAAACCAGAGACCCTCCTTCTAATAGAAGAAAACATAGGCCCTAATCTCCATCATGTGGGATTAGGCCCCAACTTCCTTAATAAGACTCCTTTGGCT